AAAAAATTTAATGCTATCTAAGATTTTCGTCCATATTTATATTTACTATTATTTTTTATTTACTTTTTTGTTATATATTTTTTTTATTGTTTTTACACTGTGACAATATATGCCCAATTAATACCTTTTTTTTTTACTGAATAAATACTTTAAATTAACAACTCAGCTATGCCTTACCCACAAAACTAATTCCTGGCCAGCTTTGTTAGCCAACAATTTTCTGTCACGAAAACCAATTTCTAGACTTCGTCTTCAATTTCCCATAAAAGCAGGTCGATAAATATTCCTTGTGTTCTTTGGCACTTTTTGGTACCAAACGATTTTTCGTGTGCTCGATCATAAATATAAAATCGTACGCTGATTTTTAAAAAATGTCAAAAACGAATTTTCAAACGCACTAAAGGAGAGCAAAAAAAAAAAAAAGAAAGAAATTTCGTCTGCAACAGCAACCCAAACAATTTGTTAAAACAACTGTGACAGCTTGCATATGTCCTTTAGCCAGGACACACATGGAGACTAACTCTCTGCTCTACTCTCTCTCTCTCATTTTCTCTTTCTCTCTGTCTCCCTTTCTCCTTCCTTGTTTATTTCTGTTTTTACTATATCTTGCTCCATGTTTGTACGTTTATTGTGGCGTGCGTTGCTTAACAAACAGGAAGCAACAAATTCAGCTACTGTTTCCGCTTAGTGTTCGTCTGTGCGAGTGTGTTTGTGTGTGTGTGTGTGTGTGTGTGTGTGTGTAAACCAGTTTGTTTCTAACATTTGTGACTGCATACTGATTTGCTTGCAGCAGCAGCAACAGCAGGACATAAGGACAACATATGCTGCGAACGACCCTTAACCTGCCCCACTTCAGCAAAAAAAGAAATAGAACGAAGCAATAGAAAAAAGAAGTAAAATTTCTTTGGGGCCAACTTAAGCAGCTAATTTGGTATGCAATCCAGATATTTGGCATTCATATTATTTCTTTTGGCTTTTTATACAATTTGTCGGTACTTAACAGAGCTTTAAAACGAAATCCCCAATGACTAGATTTCGAGTGGCTTTAATCAGGGAATCAAAGAAGTATTGGAAAGGATTACATTTTCATTGTCAACGATTTCAAATGGTTCTCACAGGAATTGTTTTTATTCTCTGATAAATGTGGAATTTACAAATTTTTATTCAATTTCCAAGTCAAATATTTAAAAGTTATATAGGATATTATTTTTTTTTGTTAAAGACTTTCACTGGAATTTTCTTTAATAATCGAGACAAACCCGTTTAAAAATGTTCTCTATTTTCTATTATTTTCCTTGCAAAAGATTTTACCGGAATTTTCTGTAATAATTGAGACAAAAGTATAACATATCAAACAATTTTTAAGTTACCTGCAAAAAGTTATATGTAATATATTTTTTGTCAAAGCATTAAATATGTGAATTCTAAAAGTTTTTAATTTTCCTGAAAAACAATTTTTTATTATATTATTTTCAATGCTAAAGAATTCCACATTTTATTTATAGAGGAATTTGCTTTTTTCAGACAAATGTGTGAATTGTTAAAGAGTGTTAAATTTTTCTACAAAGTATTTAAGATTTATATATAATTTTATTTTGCTTGCCAGAAATGTTTTCTTTATTATTTGAGGTTTATGTATAAATTAGTAAAAAGTTTTCGATTCTCCTGTAAAATATTTGGAAGCCATATAATAATATACTATATATTTTCATTGCTTGAGATTTTCAAAGCTTTTCACTGGGATTTAGTAATTTCATATTTAGGATAAATATGAAAAGTATTATTTAAAAAAATATTTTTGTTTTATACGTATATATTTAACTTTACTAAATACTAAATAAAATATTTACAATCTATAATGTATATGTGGAGATCTATAGAATAGGCTTACGTTCCATAAATAAGTCGATGTCGCCTTTAAGCCCAGTCGGCCAAGCTAAGTGGCTGGCAGTACGATAATGCCCAGTGTCTGGGCGTATAAATGAAAACACTAAAGCACTTGACTTTAGGCACTCTCGACATGGCGGTGACAAGCCAAGCATTTGCAG